CAAGTAATCTAGATCCAAAGCTGGTAGATGGAGTTAGGATACAGATCTGCTGTGATCCAAGTGAATGTGAAAACTGGTGGCTCAGTTAATAATGTGTTCATCTCTGAATAACAAAAGTTCCTTGTTCAAGTCCTTGAGAACAAAAACAGATGGTGCCACTCTGATGCAGTATTAAGGTAATACTGCACTGGCCGAGGTGATATAGAGGTAGTAAATGTATTGGAATTCATTTTCCAAAATTCCCTGGATTCAGCAAAGTTTCCATCAGACTGAAGCAAATATAACTCATCTATTCGAGGATGGAGGGAGGCAGGAAACTATAAGCAAGATAGCTTGATGTCTATCATGGGCAAGGTATTAGAATCAATCATCAAAGAGATTACAGTTTCAAAGTTGCATCAAAGAGATTTTAGTTGAATAGTTTAAAAAAATGTCAAGGTGGTTAGGAAGAGTCAGTATGGTCTTGTCAAAGGAAAATTTATGTTTAACCAGTCTGCTATAGTGCTTTGAAGGAGTAACATGCTGTTGATAAAGGAGAGCCTGTATATATTCTACACTTGGATTTGCAAAAGGCATTTTAAAAGGAACCACATCATAGATTATTGCAGAAAATAAAAGTTCATGATGTAGGGCTAATGTATTAGTCTGGATGGAAGATTGGCTGACTGGCAATAAACAGAGAGTATATATAAACTGGTCTTTGATTAGCAAGATGTGACAAGTGGGGCCTCAACATTTTCCAATTTATATCAATGACTTAGATAAGGGATGTGAAGGCATGCTGGGTAAATTTGCAGACAATATCAAGATAAGTAGGAAAGTATGCGGTGAAGATGTCATGAGGTTGAGTGTGTGGGCAAAAAAATATAGCAGATGGAATATAATGTGGTAAATTATGATGTAGTTCACAGCTGTGAGAAGAATAAAGAAGCAGAGCATTTCCAAACGGACAACAACTGAATTCAGAGGTGAGGAAAGATTCAGGCGTCCTGGAGCATGAGTCATAAAAAGCTAATACACAGGCACAGCATATAGTCAGGAAGGTTAATGGAATGCTATGCTTTTTTAAAAAATAAGATCAATTATAGATAAAATTTAGGATGTTATGCTTCAGTTATATAGAGCATTGGTGGGATCACATCTCAAATAGTGTGTGTGGTTTTGGTCTCCTTATTTAAGGAAGGGTGTAAGTGCTTTGGAGACTGTTCAGAGCAAATTTATTAGATTGATACCTGGACTGAACAGATTGTCTTATAAGTTGGACAGGCTGGATTTGTTTCCACTGGCGATTAGAATTGTGAAAGATGATTTGATTCAAATGTACAAGATCCTGAATGGTCTTGACAAAGAGGACATGGAATAAGGGGCACCATTTTATAATTAGGGGCTGCCCTTACAGACAGAGATAAGGAGATTTTTTTTTCCTCTCAGAAGGTTGTGTGACTTTGAAACTCTGCCTCAGAAGGTGAAGGAGTTGGTTAATTGATTATTCTTAAGACAAAGGTGGATTGATTTTTCTACTTAAAAAAATACGTATGGTTATTGGGGTAGAAAGGGAATGTGGAACTTGGAATATGAAACAAGCAGTTCAGCCATGATCTTATTGAATGGTGGAGCAGGTTCAAGGGGCTGAATGGTCGGCTTCTGCTCCTATTTCATATCTTCAGACAGCCATCTGGCCTATTGACCTAATTCAATATATATCAGAGAGCAGGGGCCCATTTCTGATGTTGTGGAGGGGAAGGTCATTGATGAAGCAGCTGAAGATGGTTAGACCAAGGCCACCTTGAGAAACTACTGCAGAGATGTCCTGGAGATGAGATGACTGACCTCACATAACCAGAACCATCTTCCATTCTGCCAGCTACAACTCTAACCCAGGAGGGATTTTCCTCCAGATTCCCATTGACTCCAGTATTGTTTGGGTTCCTTGAGGCCACACTTGGTCAAATGCTGCTTTGATGTAAAAGGGCAATCATTCTTACGTCATTTCTGGCATTCAGCTCATTTGTCCATGTTTGAACCAAGGCTATAATGAGGTCAGGAGCTGAATGGCCCTGGCAGAACCCAAACTAGGCATCACTGAGCAGGTGCTACTTGATAGTGCTGTTTATGATACCTTCAATGACTTTATTGATGATTGAGAGTCGATTTGATGGGGCAGTAAGTGGCTGGGTTGGATTTGTCTTGCTTTTCAGGTTAGGTGGAATGTTGTGGGGTTCATTTTTCTCCAGTGAGTTAATTGTCCACCACCATTCATGACTGGATGGCGCAGGACAGCAGAGCTTAGATCTGATTGTTTATGGAATCACTTGGTGCTATCACTTGCTGCTTACAGTAATTGGCATGGAAATAATCCTGCTGTATGGCTTTGCCAAGTTGACACCTCATGTTTGGTATGCCCTCCTACACTCTTTATTGAAAGAGAGTTGATCCCCTGGCTCAAGTAGTGGTCAGGTGGAGGAGATGCCAGGCCATAAGACTACAGACTATTCATTCTGAGGAAGGGTCACCAGACCCAAAACATTAACTCTGTTCTCTTTTTCACAGATGCTGCCAGACCTGCCGAGCTTTTCCAGCAACTTTGTAGTCTGGAACAAAAACAGACTGTGTTTGAGTACAATTCTGTTGCTACTGATGACCCACAGCACTTCACAGATGCTTGGTCTGGAGGTGCTAGATCTATTCAAAGTCTATCCCATATAGCTTGGTTATAATTCCGCACAATGTAAGGTAGTCTCACAGTGAACGTAGGAATATCTCACAGGTCTCTGGATTACAAGTCCAACACTAATACCACTACACTAGTGTCTGATGGTTTAACAAACTGGTAGAGGCTTAATGGCCTCCTTCCACAGCAGAAAGATTGGCTCAAGTAAATTCTGATAGCAAGGAACTGTACTTGCTCTGTTGTGATGTCAGAAATCAGCAGTCAATTTGCATAAAGGAAGCCCCACAATCAAGAATGATTATGGACCTGATAAAGAGATAGTAGGAACTGCAGATGCTGGAGAATCTGAGATAACAAGGTGTAGAGCTGGATGAACACAGCAGGCCAAGGAGCAGGAAGGCTGACGTTTCGGGCCTAGACCCTTCTTCAGAAAATGGATCTTTTAGAAGATCCACAGGATCTTTTACAGCCAGCTAAGTAGACAGATCGGGCCTTGTTTTAACAGACCACATGAACGATAGGATCTTTGGCAGCACATGCAATGCTTTGAGATTCACCGTGGTGCCTTAGACAGCATCTTCCAAACTCACAACCACTTCTGTCTAGAAGGACAAGAAAATCAGATAAATAGGAATACCACCACCTCAGAGTTCCCCTCCAAGCCACCGTTCCGTGAGCATCACTAGGTCAAAACCCTGGAACACATTCCCTGAAGGCATTGTGGGTATAGCTACACCAAATGGACTGCAGTGGGTCAAGGCTACAGCTCACTACCACCACCTTGAGGGCAATTAGAGTAGTGCAATAAATCTCAACCAGCATTATTTAAATTCCATATAAAAAGGGAATAAAAAACTTGCTATATTTATTTGGGCATCTTAAACTCCACTCAACATCAGTAGGTTATTATCCTTGTATACATGGACTGACCAATGAACATAAGGGCTTAGAGTAGCTGGCTATTCAGCCCCTTGAGCCTGCTCCACCATTTGATATGATCTTGGCCTGAACTCCATGTCTCCTCAGCATAACCCTTCAACCCATTATTAATTTTAAAAAAGTCTCCCTCTCTTCACAATTACTTAACGTCCCAGCATCTGCCACACCCTGGGATAGCAAATTCCAGATTCACAACTTTTTGAGAGAAGTAATTTCTCATCTGTTTTAAATTTGCCACCCTTTATTCTAAACCTATGATCTCTCATTCTAGATTGTTTTTGTCTCATGAGACATTCTTTCTACATCTATTTTGTTAGATCCCTTTAGCTCTTATTAGATCTCTGAATTCTCCTAAACTCAGTAAACTGAAGTCATACAACATGGAAACAGACCTTTCAGTCCAACTTGTCCATGCTGACTAGATAAATCTACTCCCATTTGCCAGCATTTGGCCCATATCCCTCTAAACCCTTCCTATTCATGTAAAAATCCAGATGCTTTTTAAAATGTTGTAATTGTACTTGCTTCCAGCAGCTCATTACACGCGCGCACACACGCACCACTCTCTGCGTGAAAAAGTTGCCCCTCAGATCCCTTTTTAATCCTTCCCCTCTCACCTTAAACCTATGCACCCTAGTTTTTGGCTCCCCTAACCTGGGGAAAAAGACCTTGGTTATTCACCCTATCCATGCCCCTCCTGATTTTATAAACCTCTATAAAAGGTCACCCCTCAGCCTCTGATGGTCCAGGGAAAATAGGCTGAATAAGCTGGGGCTTTCCCTATAGCTCAAACCCTCCAGCCCTGGCAACATCCTTATACATGTTTTCCGAACCCTTTCAATTTTCAGAATGTCTTTCCTATATCAGGGAGGCCAGAATTGGATGCAGTATTCCAAAAGTGGTCTAACCAATATCCTATAGAGTCGCAACATGACCTCTCAGAACAAATCCCACATCTAATGTTAATGAATTAACAAATCTAATGAACCTCCTTTGAACTGCCTCCAATACAATAGCATCCTTCCTCAATCCAGAAGAAACCAGAAACCTTTTGTCCTTGTCACACTGAACTGTTCAACCCACCTACTGCCTGTGTTCCATCATGATATCCCCCATGGAGCAAGCAAGTTCCTTCTCGAAGTTCCTATTTGTCAAACGGCAGGCTTTGAACTACTGCAGTCACAGTTCTTCTTGCTAAACAGGATCAGGATGAGCCCAGGGCCTCTGTGCAGCCAACTTCCACTTCCCAGGCCCTCAGACAAACCCCTTTTGCACTCGCAGAGACAAACTGTGTTGCCAACAAGGGTCCCCTTTACAAAGGGTGATAGACTAACCACCTTAAACTCAGCAACTGAACTCCAGGCATTTGCAGAATAAAAAAAACAATATATTACACCAAGATTTCAAACACTTTAATTTGATCACATTTTAAAACACAATTAGAATTGCAACAACCTGCAGGTGGATTACTGTATAAAAGTTGAATCTTCAAAAATTTAAAGCACTTTTAAAAGTTGAATCTCAGGACTGATCACATCTTCAGGCTTAAATCGGAAGATTTATGCTTCACAATTAATTACGAGTTAACGTATGGGGGTCACGGAGTATTCCCGAGAAAGGGTCTGTACTTGAACCACTGTCACCTGACAAGTTTTTTTTGAAAGTGGCCTGGTGTCCACAGCTTAGATTTATGCCAACCAGCAAGCACACCCTCACACCTTAACTCTGCAGACAAGTGAAAGGGGGAAGAGGGTATCAGCAGTTTTGTCTGCTGCGGATAGGGGCCATTGCTTCTCTAAACATCCTAAGTCTGAACTGATGGAAGAGGCACATGGTGCCAGCATAAGACCAATCATTCTGAAGGAGGATAGCAGCAAGATGTACTGTGCAGCAAGGGCACCTTCCTGACTAAGTTGGCTTGTACTCAGTCACCTAGGGAAAAGGTTGGAACCTTCAGCATCATCCCACAGTTAGAAGTGAAAATGATGCCTTCAGTACAAGCAACCTTGAATCAAACCCTCAAGGAGGAAGGAACCCAAGAAGGATCTAACCCAGAAGATATGTCCTCCCCCCACGTATTAGAGCAACCCTTGCTCCAGAGGGAAGTAGTATAGGTGCAGGACTGATCAAGGTTTACCTCAAGGATCAGTGGTTCCATTTATCAGGGTGGCAAGGGCTGGTTATACACTGCCAAGACAGACTAAAGTTGGTCTCTACCTCAGCAAGGGGCCATGGTACTCAAAGTGGCAGTATGCCGAGGAATACCTCCACCCTCTAATCCAGGGTTTGCAGCAGTCTGTGTTGGAAGTTGGGGGAAGGCACACTCACCTCAGGGAACACAGACATACATTAAAAACATGAAAATTGTAAATCCCAAGACTTACTTGGGAAATTATCCAATTCTCCCCACATCCTTTCTGCATTAGGCACTGAAAATAAATGAGGTGGAGATAGAGAGAGGTAGATACAGTGAGCAAAAGGGAGAGAGAGATTCCTGAGAGAGAGATTCCCAGTGACTGGGCCAGGTTAATGTGCAAAAGCTTTCCCAAAAAATTGGAATTACACTGCACATCCAGTCACTGAGCACAAGGTACACTCTCTTCCTGCGGTTGGAATTCTAGGTCACTGTTACCATGAAGACAGATGTTCCTCAGCCAACCATGCTCCAATCTGATGATCAATTTTCTAAAAACAAAAAAACAGAATGGAATTAAACTCCTTCAATATTTCACTCACCATTGTTTGGAAGTGATTAGTTCAAGCATCAAAACCCACACGAGTCTCTTTCTCAAAATTGTTTCCTATTGCCAAAAAGGAGCTTATTTTATTTTGGGGTTGGGAGTTTGGGCAGAAGAAGAATAGGAAACTTTTATTTCCCCAATCAAAACACTCCTAGGCCAGGGATAGCACAGGATCAGATACAGAGGAAAGCTTTCTGTACACTGTCCCCATTAAACACTCCCAGCACAGAGACAGCATGGCGTTAAATACAGAGTAAAGCACCCTCTACTCTTAAACCGAGAGTAAACAGAAATTAAAGTGTCTCTCGGTACCGTTTCCAAACACTCCCAGCACAATGTTAGATACAGAGTAAAACCTTCTCGACACCATCCCCATCAAACATTCTTGGGCCAGGGATAGCACAGGGTTACACAGTAAAATTTCTTCTGCACTAATCACCAAATCCAGAAAAGGGACACTATGGGGTTAAATACAGAGTAAAGGTGAGGTAACGCTCCCTCTACAGAGCCTCAGGGTACCCACAGAAAGGCATCTTGTGCAGTGTGTGAATTCCCTTAGTCTGGCCCATTCTAGAGGGTCTCTCTGTTGTAGACAGAGCTGTGTGCTGTGGCTAAAGTGTCTAACCTCATTAGCAGGAATCGTATCCTTTAATCAGTGTGGATTAGGTTCAATTATTTGCACGGAGGAGAGTGTACCATTGACAACTGTCCATCGACTATCTTCAGTGTTAAAAACTCGGAGATTTTACAGCCAAAGTTTTGTAGCCCGGGTTGTGGGGGAGGTTGTTGACTTGCTCATCGAGCTGGCTTGTTCCCGTTCAGATGTCACAAGCCAGCTCAGCGAGCAAGTCAACAACCTCATTTTACAGCCATTATAGAAATTGCTGAGAATCTCCAGTGACACTCGTGTTTAAATCTGCCAGAAGATGCATTGCACACTGTACAAAGCTACTTCTTTCTGAACCAACACCTCCAGCCTCAGTTCTCCGAGCTCTGTGTCTCACCTGTCTGGCTTGTCGGAGAGATGGCAAGTCCTCCTGCTGCACAGGAAGCATGTTCGCACAGTGTGCGGTACCATTGATGACCAAGGCCACTTCAGAATGCGACTGGTTCTTCAGCACACTGAGCACGTGCCACGGATCAATGTCACCTTCAGAAAGGGATCAGAAACCATCAACAATGGAACAAATCCAGCAGTGCAGTTGGGTACAATCAATACTCCGTACCTGTCCCGCACCTGCCAACCCAGCACTGTAAACATTCAAGAAATCCTGCAGAAAAATAGCACAGAAGTAGAGATGATGGGGAAGGGACAAAGTGCAAGATGAAGACAGCGAACACACATGAGACACCTCCCTACACCATTCAGTGAATGCACTACCTACAGTGAAACTGAACCACAATGGCATTGTGAACTAGCAATCCATAGACTGATTAAAGATCTGGGGACACGGATTCAAATCCCACCAGTTGCTGGTAGCATTTAATTTCCATAAATCTGGAAGTGAAACCTAGCCTCAGCAATGCTGACCATGAAACTACTGCATGTTATAAAAACCTATCTAGTTCAAAGAATCCTTTAGGGAGGGAAATCTGCTGTCCTTAACTGGTCTGGTCCACCCAAGACCCAAACCAATGTGGTTGACTCTTAACAGTCTTCTGACATGACCCAGCAAGCCACTTAGTTCAAGGGCAATTAAGGACAGACAACAAATGCCAGCCTTGCCAGTGACACCCACATCTCAAAATAATCAAAAAAGCAAAACGCACAGGAGATCCCAGGCACCATCAGGTTTGTTAATCTCAGACATGGGTCACTAAAGAGAGCTCCTGAGTAAAGCAGGATGGATGAAACAAATAAGGGAGAGGATTCAGAAGAAATTTACCAGGAATGGAGGGTTTGCAATATAAAAGTAGGCTGGGACATTTTCAACTGGAGCAAAAAGGTGGATTAGGGGAGACTTTGAGGTTTATAAAATCATGAGGGGCATAGATAAAGTAAGTGACAAGAGCCTTTTCCCTAGGGTGGAGCAAGTTCAAACGTAGGGGGCATTTTGTTTTTTAAAAAAAAGAGAGAGGAGAAAGATTTGAGAAAAGGACAAGGGGCAACTTTTTTGTTTTTAGAAACAGTGGTTAGTGTTTGGAATGAACTGCCAGAGGAAAGAGTAGATGCGGATACAGTTCCAATGTTTAAAAGGCATTTGGATAAGTACATAAAGAAGTTTGGAGGGATATGGGCCAAGTGCAGGCAGGTGAGACTAGTTTAGTTTGTAACTATGGTTGGACCAAAGGGTCTGTTTCTGTGTTTTGTGACTCAGAATAGTTCAGGCTCCAAGCATGTACATGTACTTGAGACCTCACAATGAGGAGCTTATTCAGGACAAAGATGTTGGGAAGCAACTCAATCTGCACAGTCTGCACTCAGACAACAACGAGAAACACCTTGTGCACCCATGTCCTGTTCCTCCTCAGGACAGGGCCATGGAATCTTCCACATCTAGTGAGAACAGACAGGACTTGGATTTCATGGCACCGCCATCAGTGCAGCATTCCATTAGTATCGTACTGGAGCTCCGCCTAGGCTTTGGTGCTCTAGTCTCCGGAATGGAGCTCAAGAGCAGAACCTTTTGATTCTTGTCAGAGGTTCCCACTGAGCCAAACGCAATACACAGAATTCCACCCAGGAACATATTTAAAAGCCTGAGACCAGGTTTACATCAATTCCCCACTCTGGGCAAGATCAGAGCCAGAAAGTGGGAATGAGACAGTTCAGGATAGTGACAAAAGCAGATTGAAGTGCTTCAATACAAAGTATGCATACATGTTGAAAGAATGGGACAGGTTAGAGGGAGCAAACTGCTTTTCAGCAACCAAGGGATTGCAAGAGTGAGGGATGGCAAATCTAAGATCAAAATATTTGCAGAGAGTTAGTGATTGAGACAGAAATTGCAGAAAAAAAATCCATTCCATTTCCAGTCAATTACATAGAAATGCAGAATAGATAGAGCCCACATCAGTTTCACTTGATGAACCTTTTATTTCAATTCATTCTTGGCATGTGGGCATCATTGGTATAGCAGCATTTACTGCTTGCCTCCAATTACCTCGGAGAAGGTGGTGAGCTGCCTTCTTGAACTGCTACAGTCCACAAATCGGGTAGCTACACCCAGATGCTGTTAGGGAGGTAGTTCCAGGATTTTGACACAGTGACAGTGAAGTTGGGAAGTGACTTGGAAGGAAACTCACAGGTGCTAGTGCTCCCATTCATCTGCTGCTTTGTGCTTCTAGATGGTACAGGTTTGGAAACAGCTACCAAAAGGAGACTTGACCAGTTGCTGCAATGCATCTTTTAGATGATGCATACTGCTGTCACCATGCATCAGTGGTTGTGGGTGTTTGTGGATGTTGTGCCAATCAAGCAAGGTGCTTGGTCCCAGATAGTGTCAAGGGTATTGTTGGAGCTGCACACATCCAGGCAAGTGGGGTGGATTCTATCAGAATCAAATTGTGGGGAGACAGCAGGTTAATTATTTGCTGCAGGAATTCTAGCCTCTGAACTTGGTTTACAATCCACATAACCTTCCGTTCCCTTTATCTTCACATACATCTGTACCAACCAACACAACCATCCTGGTTGTAACAAGTTCCACATTCTAACTGACCGAGTGAAGAAGTTTCTCCCGATTTCTTAACAGTTTCAACGTTAAGCGTACTCTTTTTCCATAATTATTTAGTGCCTTTGCAAAAGCAAAGAAAGAATGTACAGACATTTCACAAGAGTGGAATCAGACAAACATAATGAGTCACAAGAGGGAGCAACATCTCAAGAGGGAGCATGGAGAGATTTAGGACAGGAATTCCACAGTTTAGGGCCTTGGAAACTAACAACATTCAATTAAAGTGCTGTCAGATGTAGAAATATGGGAATAGGGCAGATACATGTAGCTAGAACCACTTGCCCCTGTGGAGGGCAAAAACCAACACAGGCTAGTTGGGCCAAATGGTCTCTTTCTGCATCAAATTTCTGCACGGAGCTTTTTAATTCTTCCCAACACCAGCCTTGCTAACTTCCCCTTCCTGTGTTCTGCCATCCATGTATCAGGCTTTGTCAGTCAAGTTCACAAAAATTCAGACCATAGCAGCTTCTGAGGCACATGCTCAAGTATGAGGCAGCATTTTTTCACAATATTGCAGTACTCACTTTAGCCACATGGTGTCAGCAACATACCAGGATTGGAATCCAGCTCTACAATATTCCTTCAGTATTTTCATTCTTGGAATACGAGCATTGCTGGCAGGGTCAGGATTTATTCCCGCCTGTAGGCATTCTGAACATGCAGAGCAATCTTTAACCACAAAATCAGTGGGAAAAGGCAAGGGGCTCAGATACTAGGATTTTGATACATTGACACGCTTAGGTTAGGATGGCATGAGAGATTTTGAGGTGACAACGTCACGTGTCATAGGTGTCTACTGCCCTTTTGAGATAATGGGGTCAGTGTCAGAAAGATCTTTCCCTTGGAGGGACTAGAACTTGTGGAAGTGATTGGTTAGTGGTATTATCGCTGAACCGTTAAGCTAGATAAATGTTCTGGGGCCTTGGATTCGAATCCCACCAAAGGCAGATGGTGAGATAAATATAAAATCTGTAATTAAGAGCCTCATCATGATATGTCGATTGTCAGAAAACCCATCTGGTTCACCAATGTCCTTTAGGGACGGAAACTACCATCCTAACCTGGCCTACATGCGACTCCAGACCCACAGCAACGTGGTTGAGTCTTCACTGTCCTCTGGACAATTAGGGATGGGTAATAAATGCTGCCTAGCCAGTGACGTTCACATCCCATGAACCAATAACCTTTTAAAAAAAAAAAGCTGAGATAGTGCAGGATACACAAGTTCAAATCCAGAGCATTATTCTGGGTTTCTGGATTATCTCACCGGGCAAAATAACTCGAGGCCGGTATACCATTACCCTTGTACTTGTGCATAGTACTTGACACTGGTCTAGCCCCCCTCAGAGCCAGCTCTAAGAGTGAATAGAATCTCTGACAGTGATTTATATCTGTCAGCCAGGGCTCCCTGATTGGACCAGGTTAACAGCCCCAATCAGGGAACTCATTGAGGTCCCCCCAGCTGACCTCCTTACAATCACTGCACCAGGAAAAACATTCCCTTTCAGTGGTCTGACTCCTGCCTTGGCCTCAGTTTCTCAGCTGCTGAACCCCTACCCCTTGCCTTGTTACCTCCGGAAGACTACTCCAATGCTTGCCTGGCCAGACCACCATCCCTCTCATCTCCCCTTCACCCACCTGCTCCAGCAGGAGCTCCTAAGAACAGCCAGACAAGCCTCATAACATTAACTGGCATTTTTCTCTCTCTACACAGACACTGCCAGACCTGCTGAGTTTCTTCAGCATCGTCTGTGTCTGTTTCAGATTTGTAGCATCTGCAGAATTTTGCTTTTATGCTTTCAATGCTTTTCTCATCTTCTGCTCATCAGGACAGATTCACAAAAAAACCCAAATCTCAAAAGGGCCTGACAATCTATACTGCATGAAAGAGGAGGTCCAGAAGCTGCCAAATGGGGCTAGATTAATTTAGGATAACTGGTCAGCATGGACGAGTTGGTCCGAAGCGTCTGTTTCCGTGGTGTACAACTGACTCTGATTGGTAGAGGTGTTGCCATGGAGAATGCACTTGGGAACAATTAACTTCCCAGCTTTTGTTTAAATTCAAAACAGACAAATAGACTGATCGGTCAGGAACATTGTGATGAGAATAGTTTACATAGAATAGTTTCCCTTGTTACAGCCATGTATACCTGCTGTAAAATCCATTTTAATTTGCCCAAATTTTTATAGCACCACACAGTTCCAGAAGGGAATGGACAGGGGTCATGATCAATGTTTCATGTAAATGGTGCATGACTACTCTCAAAGTGACCCCCTTCAAGAAAACTGGGTGTCAAAAGTCTGAGGATGCCATGTTCCAAACCGACTGTGCACATGAAAACAAAAATTTGAAGGGGGACTTTGGTCATAGTTCCATCTCATGTTGAGGGGGTGGGCGGGAGGTGGTGATGGCCCAGTGGTATTATCGTTAGACTGTTAATTCAGGATCCCAGGTAAATGTTCCGAGGAAGGGGCACTCAACCCAAAACATTTTTAAAAAAAAAAAAAGGAAGAAATAGCAAGACATCTGGATATAAATTGTCCCATTGGGAACACCCAGCATGGGTTCATGAAGGGTAGGTCATGTTTAACTAATTTGGTGGAATTCTTTGAGCACTTATTTGCATGGTGGACAATGGGGAACCTGTGGATGTGGTGTATCTGGATTTCCAGAAGGTGTTTCACAAGGTGCCACGCCAAAGGCTGCTACACAAGATAAAGTTGCACAGTATTACAGGTAATGTATTGGCATGGATAGAGGATTGGTTGACCAGTAGAAAGCAAAGAGTAGGGGTAAATGGGTGTTTTTCTGGTTGGCGGTCAGTGGCTAGTGGTCTGCCTCAGGGATCAGTGTTGGGACCGCAATTGTTTACAATTTACATAGATGATTTGGAGTTGGGGACTAAGTGTGGTGTGTCAAAATTTGCAGATGACACTAAGGTGAGTGGTAGAGCAAAGTGTGCAGAAGACACTGAAAGTCTGCAGAGGGATATAGATAGTCTGAGTGAGTGGGCAAAGGTCTGGCAGATGGAGTACAATGTTGATAAGTGTGAGGTCATCCATTTTGGTAGGAATAACAGCAAAATGGACTATGTTTTAGATGGTGAAAAATTGCAGCACACTGCTGTACAGAGGGGCTTGGGTGTCCTTGTGCATGAAGAATCGCTAAAAGTAGGATTGCAGGTGAAGCAGGTAATTAAAAAGGCAAATGGAATTTTGTCTGCCATTGCTAGAGGGATGGAGTTTAAAAACAGGGAGGCTATGCTGCAGCTGTATAGGGTCCTGGTGAGGCCACATCTGGAGTACTGTGTGTAGTTTTGGTCTCCTTACTTGAGAAGAGATATACTAGCACTGGAGGGGGTGCAGAGGAGATTCACTCGGTTGATTCCAGAGTTGAGAGGGTTGGATTATGAGGAGAGACTGGGATTATACTCATTGGAATTCAGAAGAATGAGGGGAGATCTTATAGAAACATAAGATTATGAAGGGAATAGATAAGGTGGAGGCAGGGAGGTTGTTTCCGCTAGCAGGTGAAACTAGGACTAGAGGGCATCGCCTCAAAATAAAGGGAAGCAGATGTAGGACTGAGGTCAGGAGGAACTTCTTCACCCAAAGGGTTGAGAATCTGTGGAATTCCCTGCCCAGTGAAGCGGTTGAAGCTACCTCACTGAATGTTTTTAAGGCAAGGCTAGATAAATTTTTGAACAGTAAAGGAATTAAGGGTTATGGTGAGTGGGCGGGTAAGTGGAGCTGAGTCTCAAAAAGATCAGCCATGATCTTATTAAATGGCGGGGCAGGCTCGAGGGGCCAGATGGTGTTTTTGTGTTCTTATTAACTGTTGACCTGTTCAGCTTTTCCAGCAATTTCTGTTTTTGTGACCCAGGTAAATGTTCCAGGAGCCAGATACAAATCCTGCTGTGGTAGATGTTGGAATTTGAATTCAATAAAAAAAAATCTGGAATTAAAAAAAAAGTCTAATTATGACCACACAGCCACTGCTGATTGTCTGGAAAAACCCATCTGGTTCACCAATGTCCGTTAGGGAAGGAAACTGCCATCCTTACCTGGTCTGGCCTACATGTGACTCTAGTCCCACAGCAATGTGGTTGACTCAACCACCCTTAGTAGCCAAGCCTGCGACACCTTCATCCCATGAATTAAAAAAAATCCTTTAAACCCAGATCTCTCACCCCGAGGGGTCATTAGCCCTACTTGTAAGAATGCCATCTGCTTAACCCCTGACCTCCCCTAAATGGGGTTACGACCCCTACCCATATTAGCACCATCCTTTCCATCTTGTCCTGTGGCTCCTTACCATTGACAAAGATGATGTGACTGGATGCCAGGTGATCAGCTCCATAATAATCATTGGTGAAGTCAACAGCCCCCTGAACACTGCCCGGGTCAATACCAAACACCTGGGCACACACGTCCACTTGGAATTGCAACGTCAACCAGCGGGAGAGTGGGCAGCTCTTGTCCTCACAGGTCTGGTCTGGGGAGACAAAGAGAGAGTCCTTGAGCCAAGCAGAGGAGTTGGGTGGGGGTGATGGTGGAATCTGACTGCTTCACCACCTTTCCCAAGCTTCCCCCTCCAAGAGTGTTCGTCATGGACCATGGACAGTGCACACTGCTCAGAGATAAAAAGCTTCCACATTCGGCATTTCAGCACTTGGGCGGCACGGTTGCTCAGTGGTTAGCACTGCTGCTTCACAGCGTCAGGGTCCTGGGTTCGATTCCACCCTCGGGCGACTGTCTATGTGGGGTTTGCACATTCTCCCCGTGTCTGCGTGAGTTTCCTCCCGGTGCTCTAGTTTCCTCCCACAATCCAAAAAAATGTGCAGGTTAGGGCGGATTGGCCATGCTAAATTACCCATAGTGTTCAGGTTGGGTGGGTTAGGTATGGGAAATGCAGGGTTCCAGGGATAGGATAGGTGGGTGCATCTTCAGGAGGGTCAGTGTGGACTCGATGGGATGAATGGCCTGCTTCCACACTGTAGGGATTCCATGATTCTACATTCACTTGCGCACACAGTACCAAAATGGAGTGCTGCACAATTAGAGGCACCGCTGTTCTGATGGGCTTTAAAGGCTTGCCTTTTCAGGTGGATGCAAGTAATTATTTCCAAAAGAGGCAACAAGGTGCAGGGCTGGATGAACACAGCAGGCCAAGCAGCATCATAGGAGCAGAAAGGCTGACGTTTCGGGCCTAGACCCTTCATCAGAAAAGGGTGCTTTTCTGATGAAGGGTCTAGACCCGAAACGTCAGCCTTTCTGCTCGGCCTGCTGTGTTCATCCAGCTCTACACCTTGTTGTCTCAGATTCTCCAGCATCTGCAGTTCCTACTATCTCCATTTCCAAAAGAGGAGCAGGTTTTCTCTATCTTGCCCAACCAAAGTCACTTGTAAAAATAAAGTCAATTGGTCATTCCCCTATTGCTTTTGTGGGATCTTGCTGTGCATAAATTGGCTGCTTGTTTTCCTACATTACAACAGGAACAGGACTGTACCTCATTGGCTGTAAAGCACATTCAGAGGTCATGGAAGGTCAGTCAGTCTCCGGGTCCCAGTGTAGAATTGGGGACAGCTTCAACCTTCCTTTCCCTGACCCTTGACACAGACACACCCCTCTGCAGGATTTACAGATGTTCCCAGAAGGTACCCTCAGAGGGAGTTTTCTAATGCAGTATCTGCTGCAGGTTCTCTTTTCAGGAAAGAAAGGTCGCTGAGTGGAAAGCAACTGCAAGACCTTTGAATTTTTTCCCCCACAGGGAGTCAGTTGGAAAAGATTCAAGAGCATGAGAATTAGGAGTAGACCTTTCAGCCTGCATGTCCTTCAACATGACTGTGGCAGATCTCTCCATCTTTGCCCTGTATCCTTGGCTTCTCAGAGAGATGTTTATTGCAACTTCAACGAGGGAGTATTCAGAATCCTTAGAGGTACACAGATTGGAACACTACAACCCTTTAAGCAAAGGAATTTCCTCATCTCAGTCGTAAATGTTCAGCCCCCTTACTCCGAGCCTGTTTCCCCCAAACCCACCAAAAGTTCAGATCCCCCAAACCATTGGGAATGGAGTGACTGCCTTCAGAATCGGGTACGCTTCAATGAATTCATCTCTTGTTCTCAGCTCCGGGAGTTTAGAATCATAGAAATCAGAATTCCTATATAGTGTGGGAACAGGCCCTTCAGCCGAACAAGTCCACACTGAACCTCAGAACATCCCACCCAGACCCATCCCCCTATAACTCACCTAATCTACACATCCCTGAACACTACGGGCAACTTAGCATGGCCAATCCACCCTAACCTGCACATCTTTGGACTGTGGGAGGAAACCGGAGCACCCAGAGGAAACCCACGCAGACACAGGGAGAACGTGCGAACTCCACCCAGTCAGTTGCCCGAGGGTGGAACCGAACCCAGGACCCTGACACTGAGGCAGCGGTGTTAACCACCGAGCCACCGTGCCACCCAGTTTAGACCTAACTTATTCAGCCTCTCACCATAAAAGTACCCATCCCGGTGACCAACCTCGTGTACCGTCCCCATTGGCTTTCGGTCAAAACCCCACAAACACGGCTCTGAACTCACAGTAACCAAACTCCGTGCATGTCTGGTAGTACCACTGACGCTCTGCCATAGCATACGGTTTCACCTCTGTACTCCTCAAGTTGGCCAGTGCGTTCTGATGGGAGTTGTCTACACATTGCAGCTCCATGCTGTCCATGTAGTCCTGAAAAAGAGAAGTCATCTCCAACTGGAAGATGCTACAGAAAATCCAGGCGCAACCACCCCCTCCGCCCCCCCACCTCACCTGGCACAAACAAGCCATATTGAACTTAAACAGTTAACTTGCTTTCTCTCCATAGATGCTGCCAGACCCAAGTTGTTCCTGTATTGTCAGTTTGCCCCAGACCCCGAAGCCCAGAGGGTTAACAGGTTGAAGTTGAGGTCTAAAAGTGAGCTTAAGTTTCCAAGTAAAAAAGGCAGCTCAGCAGCTCACAGCACCAGGTACCAGGGATCAATTCCAGCCTCGGGCAACTGTCTGTGCAAACTCCACACTTTCTCCTTGTGTCTGTGTGGGTTTCCTTCCACTGTCCGAATGTGCAGGTTAGGTGGGTTGGCCATAGGAATCATAGGGTTACAGGGATAGGGTAGGGATGCTCTTCACAGGGTCAACGTGAACTCGATGGGCCCAACGGCCTGATTCCACACTTTTGGGATTCTACAAACACATTAGAATTTGAGCCCCAACCAGCTAAAAATTCTATTGCCAGTTAAAATTTCTACCCGTCATTCTCATTGAAGGGAAATGGCTGGGGTTCAGGGTCCTGTTTCCCCACACATTATGTAGCAGACAGGAACAAGAGTAGAACCAACCATTCTCAGTACAATACATCGAGGAGTCAACTTCCTCTGTCTACTTGACTGACCACCAGCCCTGCCCCCACACAATGCCCAAACCCCTCACTCCCTCACCTTGTTGAGGACCATCAACCTCTGGTAGACGGAGCCCAGCTTCTGATCGGTCATGATCCGGCACAGGTTGGCAATGTTTCTGCCCGGCACCTCCTCGTTGTACTGGACGGTTCCCATGACGATATCGGCCAGGTTGCCAGCAAACTCCACGCGGTCATCACTCCCGTTCAGCTTCTGACACGACTTGAAGTCGACCTCCAGCCGGGAGGTGTTGCTGCCCACTAGGATCCCATCCAACTGGGAGAAAGCACTCGCCACAGCAGACCGGCACTGCCAGAATGGAGAGTCAGAGAAAAGGCAATCGTGACACAGCAAGAATTAGGCCTCAATCCCTGCCTCCACCTGAAGCCTGACCAGTGAGGCCACACATCCAGGCCCACTGAAGCATTTCCTTCTGTCGGCTCTTACATAAAATGGGGAAGGTCTAAAAGTTTCAGTTAAACCAATCCGAGCAAAACGAAAAGCTGCAGGAAGACCAGAAATGCTGCAGCCTGGTTTAGTTCTGGACCCAGTTAGACAGACTGTTAAAAAGGACAGAACACAGGTTTGTCTCCCAAACAGAGGAACCTTAAACCTTCAGGGTCTGGAGGAAGTGATATCTCCTCCCATTGCTCCATCCCATCATCATTAGGCCCACTCTGACTGGTCTTGACATGCCCCACTTCTGATGGGATTCATTCAGAGACAGGCTAACTCAGACTGCACTCACATGATGGACCTCATCTAGTGAGAACTGTTATGGCCCAGACCAGACACCCCCGCTAAAATATTTTAAAGTAGCCTAGACCCTAACTTTTTATTTTAAAAAGGCAAAATGTGAAGCACTGTGTTCCAGATGCTAATGCAACTGGTCTAACTTCTCTACATTAAGCAAAATGCATTTTGCTTAAAGTGTAGTAAAATACAACCAAAGAGAGGAATTTGGAACATCTCTATGGAGAAACTTAACAGAATAGATACATTAACTGTTCCAGTATAGTTACATCCCATAAACATACCCATTGACAAAAAAAATAGGCAAATTCAGAAACAGATTCTCACGTGAATTCTCCAATCCAGGAGGAAAGAAACATCAAAAGAAAATTTAGAGAGTGTAGCAGCTAGGAGATATTTACTGAATCTTCCAACTCAGACCCCTACAGCTTCTGATGCTACTGAAAATCCAAAACCCAGAAATCCTGATCCGCGAGATGTGACCACATCCATTCAGGCTGCTTATAAAAATAACCTAAAGCCTCCCAAGCTGTTTAGTCATTCACTAGCCAGCTCAGTATCTCTCATTCAATCTCTCTCTCAGAAGAAACCAGGACAAAATAACCTCAAAGCCACAGCATCACAGATCAGAGTGGAGGAGGAGTGATGAGTTTTTCCAAATATGGAAATCCACACAACACATCCCACAAACAGTTGGGTTCTAGCTGAGACAGATACTTTGAAGTTTATTAACATGAACTACTTATATGGCTGCACAGACTTATAAACACTGTGGGTTCTGTGCATACTGATGCACGTGTACAGTAACAAGCATCTGACTGATTACAGTACACTGACTCCATTACAGAGAGCGAGCGACAGAGGATTAAAGGTGGGAACTTTTATACCACAAAGAGGTTATATGTCATGTCACTATCTTACAGACCTGATTGTATTGAAGCATACATTCTAGACCAAATGAGACAGAATGAGAGAGACAGCACGAGACAGACAGAGAAGCACTATTTCTGAATTAATTTGTACCTTCATGGATCCCCCCACCACTGGGTTTGACAGGCTCTGTGATACGACCTGTAGAATAAAAAACGTATCAATACCAAAAATAAAAAAAAGGAGAGAAAGAAAGATATCCCTACCCTTACTTGCAGGAATGATCCCAAACTGCTCCCTCACCCTGAAAGGGCAATGATCTTGTACAAGGATGTCCACCTCTTAACCTCTCCTTCATTTCTTATCTGCCATGGGAGTGTAGAAGGAGCTGTATCTAGCTGGTGGGCTGTTTGATGGGAAAATGTAATAGAAATCCCTACTTTCATGATTCATGGAGTTGAATTTTTAAAAAGGTAGATAAATGAAAACACTTAGTGCCTGGCAAACAGACGAGAGGTAAATCTACTTCAATGATTAACCTGTGTTTATAAATTATACCAGAGAGTTAGAAGTGAGAAAACACAAACAATTAGTAGCCCATCTCTTGGTTGGAGCATATGGTCCACAACTACTCCAATAAGTGATTTAGATCATTCAGTTTTCAGAACAAAGTAGTTAAAAGCATCTTTGTAAAGAAAAGGGATTTCTTGGTGGAACCAGGAAGTCTGGAAAGAAGGCTATTAACTCCATTAAAGATATTAATTTATTCAAGTGGATCACAAAATCAAGGGTGTTTTGAAGATAAAAGACTATTTTGTTCAGAATATCCCAAATTATGCCACATTGCCATAGTAATGAACTGTAAGTGTTAGGAAGATGCCTTCACTTGTTTAGCGGTTTCTGTGAGCCGCAGCACGGTAGGAGTTTGGCAGACTGTATGTGAGCCTTTTCCGAGATCGGTAAGGCAGCTGTGGGAGCAGGCCAAGAGAAAGCAGATGTATGGAGAGCAAATCTTACCTTGTTGTATCCGGTGAAATCAAGCTGGGCTCGGACAGGAGCAGATGAAGCAACAGCAGCGAAAACCAAGTGAGGGAACTACTGGGGCAAAAAAGGACACAATCCGAGACTGCACAAACAGGCAGAGGTAAAGCATATAATCAAGTAGATATCAGGACTGGGCCCAGATTCCAGTCTATGCTCCCTCAGTGCAAGGTAAGCCTCCTATCACAAGGCTCATTTCATCACATGAAAAAAAAGTGCATGCTCTCACCAATTTTCTCTACTGCTTGTCCCCAACTATTCTGCCTTCATTCAGGAGTCCTGTTATCCCTTGACAAACACCAAAAATGGCCATCCTGGCCAGCAGACATTTACCTTGCTATTCATGGGGCCTCGCTACATTGTTATAGAATCCTTACTGTGTAGGGACAGTGTTGAAGCATGCCACTTGGTCCATTGAGTCCATACTGACCCTATAAAGAGGGTCTCACCCAAACCTACCCTATCCCTGCATTTCCCATGGCTAAACCACCTAACCTACACTATGGGCAATTTAGCATGGCCAGTCCACCTAACCTGCACATTTCTGAACTGAGGGAGGAAACTCATGCAGACACGGGGAGAACGTACAAACTTCACACAAACATTTACCCATGGGTAGAATTGAACCCAGGTCCCTAGTGCTGCTGCCTCATGCACCAACCAGCGAGCCATCGTGCCCCCCTCAAATAGTCAGAAGATAGGGTCCAGACATTAACACTTTTTTTAAAATAAGAAGAAAAAAAAAGTGTAAGGTGTTGCATTCCAGATGCAATTCAATTGGTTAAACTACCAGACTTAAAGCAAAACACAATTTATCCACTATAGTCAAAATACAAAGGAATTGGAATAATTTAACTCTATTGGAAGGCTTAACAGAATAATGGATACAGTACCTATTACTAATTAGGTGTTCCAATATAGTAACGTCCCATAAACATACCCTTGGCAAAATGCAAATTCAGAAAACAGATTGTCGCATGTGCAACTCCCCTAGCAGGCAGAGAACCCTCAGCTTTTGGCTGTAACGGGGGTGGGGGGGAAGACAGCAGGCAGGAGGGGGAATAGCTTCCACTTCAAGACCCCAACAGCAGATGCTGGAAGCTTAAAACTAAAAATCCTGCTTCTGTGGGAGTTTGACCACACCCAAAAATCTGTCTGCTACCGTTGTTTCGACTCAAAAAAAAAAAAAAAAAAAAAAAAAAAAAAACCCAAGGCCTCTCAAAACTATTTACTCTAGTGATTCTGGTAAACTGATCAATACTTCTGCCTTTTTAAAAAAAAAGGAACCACACCAGGACAAAATAACCTCTTAAAGCCACAGTATCATCACAATGTGTAAACTGGGAGTCTCCATTTCCTCATGTTATTACAATCCAGAGCAATATGTTGACTATGAGCTGCTTTGGGACAAGCCGTTCAGGGATAAAATGGGTGTGGGAGCAGAGGTTTCTGGGTTTTTAAAAGTGTCCAAAAAGTTAGTTGTCAAAAGTGGCAGGACACTATGGCAAAGCAGTTAAATAAAGCATGCTTGATCCTGTTCTTTATTAACAAGAGCAAGTCATATAAAACACGGATTCAACTTCAGCTGGAATATTACCCCTAGTTCTGGGCACTTTGTGAAGTCATTCACAAGAAACCGAGAGGAGTTTTGACAGAGTTGTTCAAAATTACAAGAGGTCTGAATAGACCGAATAGGGAGAAAATGTTTCACTTGTGAAAGGATCGAGAATGAGAGAGCAGTAATTTAAGTTGACTGGCAAAACAAGAGAAGGAAGAAAATCTTATTCATGCAGCAAGCGGAATGCATTTCCTTCAAAGAAGGAAGGGTGGCAGATTCAATTGAGGGATTGGAAGGGGATTTAGATTATTATTGGAACGGTGACTGTCCAAGCACTGCCTCAAGTCAGCAAGGTCATTATTGGTTTGTGGCTACAAGCCGATCCTTTCTTACCTTCAGCCGGAACCAGGCAGACAGGGAGCCTGGATAAGACCCGCCAAAGCAAATCCAGCGATTGTTTCTGGTCAGATTGTACTGTTGGCCAATGAACTCACGGAACGTAGCTAGGTCAGCAAGCCTATCTAGAGAAGCACATGGAGTTAGGGGCCACTGGGATAACTAAGGGGCCAAAGGTCAAATACCAGAAAGTATCAGTAGCATTGGAAACAGCTGACTCTACCTACTTAGCATGGAGAACATTCTAAATGTACAAGAATAAAATCAAATACAATTCTACACCAACCACCAAATAGGAAGGGTTTAAGGCAAATCAAAAGGGGCTGTTTCCATGCTGTATGACTCAAACTATTAAGAAATGATCGTTTCAATCTCTTAAGAAGTATCTTCAAAAAAGGAGAGAGACAGTTAGAAAAAAAACTCAAGAGCCCAGGGGCCAGCTAAAGGCATGGCTACCAATGGGGGTGGGGTGTGCAAGATGTCAGAGTTGGAGGTCTGGCTGTAACAAGAAATAAATCCTCGAGTAATTGGCTGGTACCATGTTGAGGACACGAGAGAGGGGGAAGAGGGAAAAATGAAGCCTGCTTTTACAGCGAAAGGTTGTTGCAGGGTCAATCACAAGTTCAATTTGCTTGAATTCAGTGACAGAGCGCATGTTGACTGCTTGCTGCAAACTCCTGTAAAACCCAAACTAAAGAGTGGGGGTGTAGGTTCAGTCACATGGGAATTTATAAAGTCAAAACAAAGGGTAGTTAGTGATGGGCTTGATTGTTACTAGAAAATAAAATAAAAGGAAATAAAAAGGTGGTATGAAATGACATTCACCAAGGGACCATACAAATACAGAGAAACTCATTAATACAACAAAACTTAAAGGCTTTATACCTTAATGCACAGAAGCATTCAGAATGCAGTAGATGAACTAATGGTGCAAACTGAGGTCAACAGAGGTCATGAAGACTTTAATCTGGGAGGGGGACAGTGCGCTCAGGAGAGGTTATTAAAGTTGCCAGGACAAGTATGACAACAGAATATGGAAAGGGTCAGGAATCCAATTTCAGGCACAGCCGATACAAGGATAACTATGAGGGGGCAGTCAATGTGGGACTAAGTGTGTCGTACTTAAATACACGCATTATACAAAAGATAAACGAGCTTGTAGTGCAAATTGGAACTGGCCAGTACAATATTGTGAGCATCATAGAGGTGGCTGTAATGGAATCAGGAATGGGAACTAAATATCCAAGGATACACATCCTATCAAAAAAGGACAAGCAGATGGGCTGTCGAGTGAGAAATGAATTTAAAAGTGAGCAAGATAGCAATAGCGTTAAGGTCAGAAGGCATATAATTTGTGCAGGTACAGTGAAGGAACCACAAAAAAAAGGAACAAACCCAGATGGGAGTTACGTACAGGCCTACTAGCAGCAATCAAGATGTTGGGCAGAAAATAAATCAGGAGATAGAAAAAGCATGTAAGAAAGGCACTATTACAAACAATCTTAGGGTACTTCAATATGCAAGTGAACTAGGAAAAATCAGGTTGAGAGCAGATCCCAAGGGATCTGTGGAGTGTCTACGAAATGGTTTTTTTGGAGTAGTTTGTGGTAGACCTAACAAGGGAACAGTAATTCTGGATTTGTTGATGTGTAAGTGAGGCAGGCTTGATTAGGGAGCTTAAGGTAAAGAAACTCCTAGGGGACAGTGACCATAATATGATAGAATTCACCCTGTGGTTGGAGAGAGAAGCTTGAATCAGATGTAATGATATTACAGTTGAGTAAAGGTAATAAAGAGTTGAGGGAGGGACTAGCTAGAGTTGTTTGGAAGCAGAGCCTAGCAGGGAAGATGGTACAACAGCAACGATAGGAGCTTTCAGGGGTAATTCAAGAGGCACAGCAGAAATTCATCCCAAGGAAGAAGAAACACGCTAAGGGTAGGACAAGGCAACCACAGTTGACAAGGGAAGTCAGGGGCAGCATAAAAATCAAAAGAATTGAATACAATGTGAAGATTAATAGGAAGCCAGAGCATTGGGAAACCTTTAAAAACCAGAGGACAATAATAAAAATAAAAAGCAATGCAGGAGGGAGGGTAAGGAAGCTAGAAGATTGCTAGAGTTTTTTTTCCAAGAAAGATAGATCAAAAGCTAAGAGAGAGGCTAGAGTGAACCACTGAAGTAGTAGTCATGGGAAACAAAGAAATGGCAGAGGAATTTGCATCAGTTTTTGTGGTGGAAAACACCAATAGCATACCAGAAGTTCAAGAGAGTCAAAGGGCAGAGGTGAGTGAAGTGGCCACCTCTATGGAGGTGTGAAGATGGATAAGCCATCTGGACAAGATAGACTACACCCCTTAAGTTATTGAGGGAGCCAGCAGAGGAGATTGTGGAAGCATTGGTGGTGATCTTTGAGAAATCATTGAGTCAAACAGGATCCTAGAGGACAGCTACTGTAACAGCCCTGAGACAGAAGGCAGTAAATTAAGCCAGTTAGCCTGACTTTGATCAATGGTAAGAATTGAGAGTCCATTATCAAGCATTAGATTGTGGAGTACATGAAGCGTCAGCATAGCTTTGTCAAGGGGAGGTCATGCTTGACAAATCTGTTAATTCTTTGCTAATTTGCTCATTGGATCTGCAGAGAAGAGCCAGTGGACAAGATCATTAACATTTCCAGAGGGCCTTTAAAAAGGTACCACATAGGAGACTGCTAAATAAGGTAGGAACCCATATAGTGTTCAGGGCACTGGCACAGAGAGAGAATTGGCTGACTGGCAGAAGGCAGACAGTAGGGATAAATGGGTCTTTTTCAGGCTAACAGATTTCCGCAAGTGTCAGCGTTGGGAACAATTATTCATTTTATACACTGACACAATCCGGACAAAGGAACTCAGAGCATTGTTGCTAAGTTTGCAGATGACACAATGATAGATGGAGGGCCAGGCTATATTGAGGAAGCACAGAGGCTGCAGAAGAAGTTGGACAGACCAGGACAGGCAGATAGAATACAATGTGGGAAAGCGTGAGGGTGTATATTTTGGTAGGAAGAATAGAGATGCAGGCTATTTTCTAAATGAGAAAAGGCTTCACATACCTGAAGCACAAAGGGACTTGGGAATGCTAGTTCATGATTCTTTTACAGTTAATATGCAGGTGGAGAGTTGGCGGTTTGGAAGGTAAATGCAACGTTAGCATTAATTTCAAGAGTGTTAGAGTACAAAGCAGTGACGTATTGCTGAGGCTTTATCAGACTCTGGTCAGACTGCATTCGGAACACAGCAGTTGTGGGCCCCAGACGTGCTGGCCTTGGAGAGGGTCCAGAGGAGGTTCGCAAGAATGATCCTTGGGATGGAGGGCCTGTCATGAGAAGCAGTTGAAGATTCTGGGTTGGGAACTCAAATGAATTTTAGAAAGACGAGGAGGGATCTCTTTGAAACTTACAGAATACCAAGAAGCCTGGATAGAGCGGAGATGTTTCCACTAGGAGAGACTAGGACCCAAGGGCACAGCAAGGGTGGTGAATTGGTGAGGGCCAAAGTAATTGAGTGTATTTGGGACAGAGTTAGATTGGTTCTTAATGAGTAAAGGGGATCAAAAGATACTGGGGAAAAAGCAGAGGAATGGATTTAAAGTAGTCATGATCAAATGGCAGAACCGATTAGATGGTGCAAATAGCCTAGTTCTGCGACTGTATCTTCTAGCTATGGTCTCCCTGCATGTCACTGGTCGAGAGTAGGGTCAACGGACATTCCAATGTTTTCCCAATACTGTCATGCCAAATGAGGCCATTAAAAATGAGATGGGAGTTGCCCAAACAGTGGCTCAAATCAGGCAGCCATGGGCTCATTGGGTTTTACAGCCAATTCTTCCTTACCTTGGCCTGCTAAGTGGTGACAGTAACATTCATGGCCACACAGGTGCCAGGTAATGAACAGCTCCAATAAAGAAGAACCTAATCACTGGCAATAAATGGCATTACTATCACCGAATTCCCCACATAAAACTTTTGACATCCTGCGGTTACCACTATTACCACTGGGAAAAAGTGGGAGTAGTGCAAGTAGTAGCACAGACTCGATGGAGCAAGGAGTCTCTTCTGTATTATATGATTCTATGACTGGGAATTGAACTGGAACAGCCATATGACTACAAGAGCAGGTCAGAGGCTAGGAATCCTACAGCAAGCAACTCACCTGACTCCCCAAAGCCAGTCCATCATCTGCAAGACAAGTCAGGAGTGTGATGGAATACTCCCCACTTGCCTGGATGGGTGCAGCTCCAACAAGAAGCTCGACACCATCCAGGACAAAGCAGCCTGAATGATGGGCACTCCATCCACTATTTTCACAGATCCAATTGCTCCAATGCTGACACACCCTGACTACAGCATGTGCAAGCGTACTACAGCCACTCACAAAGACTTATTCCATAGAATTTTCTAATCCTGTATCCTCCACTATCTAAAAAGGAACACCACCTGCATGCTCCCACATGGACTATCACAGCTCAAGACACCGTGCCTGGGATGGTGAAGATGAGCCAATTAGAAGAAGGGTCTAAGCCCGAAACGTCAGCCTTCCTGCTCCTCTGATGCTGCTTGGCCTGCTGTGTTCATCCAGCTCTACACCTTGTTATCTGGGAAATAAATACTGGCTTTGCCAGCGATAGTCAATCCCCACAGGAGTATAAAGCCCTTTCAAGTTCTGTCAGGGTGCGATTGGGGGAAATGTGGGGAAAAAGAGAACATCTAAGTCTCAATTTCAGCAGTGAGGGAGTATCAGTCAGATGGAAAATTTGGATCTGGACTAGAAGGGGAGCAGAGAAGAGCAACATTAAAAAGGAGAGAAGACAGTGAGGTGCAACAGTCAGGACTCAAATCATTGCTCAGTTAAGAACCCAGCTTACGCTTGCTGGCTGGACAGAAATTGGATGTTCCGATTGGTCAGTCCATCGGGATTAATGCTCGTCCCATAATACCGGTGCTCCAGAGAGACCAACAGAGCCTTGTACTTCTGTGCTAGGTCCACATGTTCACCTGCAGAAAGAGAAGCACAGCAGGAGGCAAATTAGTGCAAGATGACATCCTCTAGAAACACCAAAATCCTCCTCCGCCCTCAACTGAGTCCATCACCCCAAAAGTTAGACCACCCTCTGACAAGAAGCCCATTCCTCCAATAATTACCAGCCACAATATGAAGCACAATTTAGTAAGTGAAATGAAGGTGCTATAGAAAGGTAAACTTGCTCTTTCATTAACTGCCTGACTTAGATCAGAATGTTGAAAACAGATCCACTATCAAGGTCATAACAGCTGCAGGGCACATCCAGTAACATATCACCCTGATTCTCTCAGGCTGAGCTTAGAGATATACAATCACCCATTCTCCAGTATCACTCCAGAGATTTGAACATTTGGAGCAGGATTGAGCAAGTGCTGTTGTTGTTGTGGAAACAGTAGTATCATGGTTACAAAATAAGAGCAGGATAAGGCCATTCAACCCATTGAGCTCACCCTGTCATTATATTACATTTCATACCATTGGTGATCCCTCACAGACAAGGATGACTCTCTTCCACACTCAAGTACCTGGGGCAGAATTTCAAATTCCCTTGAATCAGGGGAGTGTTCATTAGTTTGGAAGTTGGCAAAAGTGCAATTCCTTCGTTTCTAAAAAAAGGGTGGGGAAGACAGAAAGCAGAAACAAGCTAGTTGATTTAATTTCCAACATTTTCCCTTCGGTAGATTATCAGTAAAGAAATTATAGCAGGAAACTTGGATAACTTCAAGGTAAGCAGGCAGAATTGAATTTGTAAAAGGAAAATCATGTTTAACTCCTCTATTGGAATTGTTGGAGATGGTGGTTAGGGGGAAACAACTATCTTCTGGCAAGTAGAGTATTTTTGACAAAGTGCAACATCAAAATTTGATAAATCAAAGCTCAAGGTATAGGGTGTAGTAGGTTGGCTCACTAACTGGAAGCAGAGAGTAAGCACAAATGGGTCTTTATCAAATTGGCAAGATAGAAAGCGTGGTGTACCACACAGATCAGAGCTTGGACTCAACTGTTTACAATTCATATAAATGATTTGGATTGAAGAATGGAAGACGTGAATGTCAAATTTGCTGACTTTCCTACTTACTTTTATGTTGTAAGTTATGAAGAGGACACAAAATATAGATAGGTTAAAGATGTGGCAAATGGAGTACAAAATGTGAAAGTGAAATGGTCCATTTTGGCATAAAAAAAACAGCATTTCATCCAAGAGGTGAGAGATTGCAAAGAGATGTAAATCATAGAATTGCTACAGTGTAGAAGCAGGCCATTCAGTCCATCGAGTCCACACCAACCCTCTGAACAGCATCCCACCCAGACCTACTCCCTATCCTTGTAACTCCATTCCCCCTGGCTAATCCACTTAGTCTGTACATCCCTGAACATCATGGGCAATTTAGCAAGGTCAATCCACATAACCTGCAAATCTTTGGACTGTAGGAGGAAACTGGAGCACCTGGAGGAAACCCACACAAAGAGAGAATGTCTGCGTGGAGTTTACATGGTTGCCCAAGGTTAGAATCGAACGTGGGTCCCTGGCACTGATGCAGGGACTCATGCCCAAATGGCAAACTGGTAGTATGCAGATACAGCAAGTAATTAGGAAAACCAGTAAAATATAATTTACTGTGAAGGGAATTGAATACATAAGTAGTGAGACGCTGCTTCAGTTCTACAAGACACTGGTGGGATTGCATCTGAAGTATCACGAGAAGTATTTATTGCCTTATTTAAAGAAATATGTAAACGTTTTGAAGAAAGTCCAGACAGAAAGTATGCTGGACTAATACCTCAAATGCTGGTTGTCTGGTGAGCAAAGGAAGGATATGCTAATCTTGTATCTACTAGAATTGAGACCAAGAGGTAACTTGAATGAAACATATACAAGATCCTGAGGGATCTTAACAGATGTGAAGAAGCTGTTTCCTCTTATAGGAGAATCTAGAACTAAATATTGGGGAAATCGCCCGTTTAAAACAAATGAGGCAATTTCTTTTCCTGAGGGTTGACAGTCTTTAGAATTCGGTCCTGAGAAGCAGGAGGAGAAGTAGGGTCCTTGAATGTTTTTAAGGTGGAGGTAGATAGATTCTTGGTCAGCAAACGAGGAGAGGTTATCAAACAGTACGCAGGAATTGATGTTACACTTATTTCAGCAATGGTGGAGAAGTTCTGAGGGGCTGAATGGCCTATTCCTGCTCCCAAATTGTTTGTTCATTTGTTCTAGGCTCGTACCTCCCTCAGAATGACTAAGTATAGCCCAAAGTGTACCTAGGAGAAAATCACCAACATCTCATCTCATTCTAACATGGATTCAGTGGACTGAATGGCTTCTCTTGTGCCGCAATGTCTATGATTGGATAGATATGCCTTGAAGACAAATCTCATTCCAGAAGGTGCACGCATCTGTGACTGTGCTCAAACCCAAACAGGGCATCAAGCAGACAAAACCTGATAACTACCGTAATTTGTTTCCTCTTCATACATCTAGTCTACTCCCAACGCAATACAATACCTGCCAATACACTGTATGATGTCAGCGTTTGCTCGCCACCAATAAAGAAGAACACTGGACCGTGATGCGGCTCCCACAGCTCAGTGTTGACCCAGTATCTCTGTGGAGCAGACACACATATTTGTTAAAGGACATTTTAAATGAGGCTCTGGAGAACGTGCAAAATTAAATTTGTCAGGACACCCAAATGGACAGCACATAGGTGGAAGCAGAGACCATAAATATTTTCAAGGTGGATCCTTGATAAGTAAGCAGATTTTTTTTTGGGGGGGGAGGAGAGAGGAGAGAGGAGTGTTGGGGGTAGAAATGTCAGGTCTGCCACACTGAGATTACAATCACCTGCTTGAAAGTGCCATTGTTCCTCCTGTTGAAGTGGTCCAGTGGTTGTGGGAACAGTCCCTCCTTAGGCTCAGTCATCCCACCAAACATGGGAAGGATTTTGTAGTTCTTCAGAAAGTATTTCTGTACCCTCCGCTCCTGGGATTGCAGCACCTTCTGCTTAATCAACCACATGTTCCGCCCTTAAAAAGTCAGATGACAGACAGGGATTTAATGGGTCACATCGCTGTTGAGTCAAAATGATGATTCACACCAGAAGACTAACAGTTCTCATGCCTTCAAGTGTGGTAAAATGTTCCAAGGCACCTCAGTGAAGCATCAAACAATAATGTGATTGCAGGTCACATTCAGGAGATATTGAACAATTGATCAAAAGGTTGATCGAAGAGATAGGGTTTAAGGAGTGAGGGAAATGTGTCAAAGGAGAAAAGGGAGGTGGAGGGGTTTGTTTGGGGGGTGGGGGGGGGGAAAAAACGAGGGGGGTTGGAAAAAAAAAAATAAATCAGCAACCACCTCAGCAAAACGATTAAAATTGGGGATGGTCAAGAGGCCAGAAGTTGGAGGAAAACAAAAGAAGGAGGAGAGGTTTTTTTTTAAAAAAATATGTGGTGTTGTTTTAAACTATAAGCTTAGCATGTTGAGGGGTGATGAATACTTGGAAAGGACATGGACATTGGGTCAGCTCGAGGTCGTTAGCGACCCAGAGAGTAGCGAGTCTGGGGAATTTGCTAGCACAGAAAGCAGTCAAGGCCAAAATAGTGGTCAATTTCAAGGAGGAATCGGATATAGCACTTGGGCTTAAGGAATTAAAGATTATTGGGGCAGCGGGGAAGAAGTGGGAACAGGCTATTGGATTGGTCGATCCGTGATCATAACAAACAATACAGTAGGCTTGAAGGCTGACTAGCCTACTCATGCTCATATTTTCTATGTTTCTGACAGGGCAGTACATGGGAGATGTTAGAATAGTTAAGACTCAAGATAAAGTCACGAGTCAGGGCTTCAGCAGACGGACTAAGACAGGATCAGATAACATTGAAGTCATGTTTAGCCTCAGTTTCTGGGGAGAGCATACAGTGTGGAGTTGTGTGAAAACTGAGGAATGAGGACAGTTTTAATTTTTGAGAAGGGGGCGTGGAGTGTAAAATCAGAATATTGAGGGATTAGTTACTGCAAGAGTTAAAGGAATAATTTAACTTCTCTAGAAAAAAAATCAAATCTGCAAAACACGAAAGCAACGTTGACTTAAGTTTTCAGCTGACTCAGGATTGTGCTCAGCAGGGTCAATTGTTGCTCAAAACAAGAACTCCTGTAAAAAGCAGAAGAGAAACGCAAGGTTGTTTCAGTTTTGTTTCCCAGGGCAATAGTGCAAGCAGGAGAGATTTTAAAAGAAAAAAAACTGACAAAGTGGTAACCAACTAGACATCTGTCACACCAATATTCAGCTTCACTCTAGTTAGAACGAGTTTCCAAAGCCCTGCGTTTTTATGATGCAAACAAGAAGCTTGTAAAAGAGCAAAAGTACAAATGTTTGAAATTTTGGGGAAATAAAAAGACATTACAAACAGCACACATGAAGTAGAAACTAATATAATTTGGGAGCAACGGAGATTTAGATGATGACTGTAATAACATATTCAATTTTTTTAAGGAAAGAAATTCATTCGTGGGATGTGGGCACTGGCCGGGCCACTTTTCTTTTTTGCACATCCATAACTGCTCGAGAATGTGGTGGTAAGCTACCTTCTTAACCCACTGCAGTCTATTTGGCACAAGTAGATACACAATGCTGTTAGGGATGGAGTTCCAGCCTTTTGACCCTGTACCGCTGAAGGAACAGCTGATATAATCCCAAGCCAAGATAGTAACGTAACTTGGTAACTAGCAGGTGGTGATGCTTCTGTGTATCTGCTGCCATTTTGGCTTTAGGAGGAGGAATTACACAGGTTAAGGGTGATAATGGAGCAACTGGGGTATATTCGAGGTGGTTTTAGTCAGTCTGGAAAGATCAAGAAGGATAGCAATCCAGGGCAGAGCAATATCCCTTTTAATAAAGTTCTGAGGAAGGATCACCAGACCTGAAACATTGACTATTTCTCTCCACAGATGTTGCCAGACCTGCTGCGCTTTGCAAGCAACGTCTATTTTTTGTTTCCGATTTACAGCTTCTGCAGTTCTGTTTCTGTTCCCTCTTATTCTGGTTTTGTTTAGTGTCAGCTCTCTTGCTGGTGGGTTCCAGGTTTAAAGTCCCACTCCAGGAGTTGGGTAGAGAGAGAAAAACAAAAGCTAACAACTCAATACTAGGGGAAGAGCTGGACTATTGGAGGTACCATCACAGATCTACAGCACAGAAAATGGCCTTTTGGCTTATCACATCTATGCCAATCAAAAACAACACCTAATTATTCAAATCCTATTTCCTAAGACTTGGCCCATAGCCTCGTACTCTTCAGGAGAGTTCAAACTAATGGATGTTTAAAAAAATCCATGACAACTTCAAAAGAAAGGCAGGGAACGTCTCCCCAGTGACTTGGGCACTATATTTCTCAATCAATGAGAAAAAGCAGCTTATCTGGCCAATATCAGATTACGGTGTATTGGACAAATGGACATTGATGTGCATTACAATATTGGCTACACTTCAAAAGTAATTCACTGGCTGAGGCAGTGCTCAGAGACATCTGTTGATAAAAAGCATGGTGGAAATACAAGAGATGTGAAGTCCACATTTCTTCACAAGCTTCAAAATCTCCCCTCCCCCGATCGCATCCCAAAACCAGCCCAGCTCATCCCCGCCTCCCTAACCTGTCCTTCCTCCCACCTCAAGCCCCACCCCCATCTCCTACCTACCAGCCTCATCCCACCCCCTTGACCTGTCAGTCCTCCCTGGACTGACCTATCCCCTCCCTAACTCCCCACCTACACTCACCTTTACTGGCTCCATCCCCACCTCTTTGACCCGTCTGTCTCCTCTCCACCTATCTTCTATCCGCCTCCCCCTATTTATTTCAGAACACCCTTCCTCTCCCCCATTTCTAAAGGGTCTAGGCCTGAAACGTCAGCTTTCCTGCTCCTCTGATGCTGCTTGGCCTGCTGTGTTCATCCAGCTCTACACCTTGTTATCTCACATTCTCCAGCATCTGCAGCTCCTGCTATCTCTGTGGAAATACAAGTCTCTTATCGTCGTGAGAGATTAATCCATTTTATTTATTTTTGTTGACTGAGAACTTGTGCACAGCTTACAGAGATTAGTTTAAGGTTTTAGCAAAGATTTGTAGCTTGGGTTGTGGGTGAAGTTATTAACTTGTTTTTGTTCAGACGTTTCGTCACCATACTAGTTAACATCAGCAAGGGCTCTGATGAAGTGTTGTTGTTCTACTCTGCTTGGAATTTATATGATCCGGTCCATTATGGGGAGTAGTGTCATTTCTGGTATTGTTCTGTACTTGGGGTCCAATTCTATATATTTGTTGATCGAAGTATGGTGGAGAACCATGCCTCTAGGAATTCCCGTGCACGTCTATGTTTGGCTTGGGCTACTATTACTTTGTCCCGGTTAAACTGACGGCCTTCATTGTCCGAGTGTACCGATCTTGAGGAAAGTTCCTCATGCCATTTTGCTGCGAGCTGATGTTCATGTATTCTGATGGCTAGTTTCCTTCCTGTCTGCCCAACTTGTGGAAGTCAGTCATTGCATGGTATTTTGTCAACTACGTTGGTTCTGCATGTTGTGGGAATGGGGTCTTTAATTCTTCAGTGTTTGTGGTGGAGTGACTGTGGGCTGCGTGCCACCATGACTTCTAGTGGTCATAGGAGTCTCGTTGTCAGTTCCAATTATGTTCTTGACGTAGGGCAGTGTAGCCAGTGTGTTAGGGCATACTGTGTCCTCTTGTCGTTGTCGGTTTAGTAGGCATCTGCGGATGAAGTTGTAAGGATACCTTTTCATAGTGAAGATTTTGTATAGGTGCTCTTTCTCTTTCCTGCACAGTTCTGACGTGCTGCAGTGAATGGTGGCCCATTTAAATAGTGTCCTAACAGCTTTGTTTGTGGATGTCAGGGTGGTTACTGTGGAAGTTGAGTATTTGGTCAGTGTGTTGCTTTCCTGTATACTGAAGTTTGGAACTCCCCATTGGACAGACAGGAAGGAAACTAGCCATCAGAATACACAAACATCAGCTAGCAGCAAAACGACACGACAAACTTTCTTTAATATCAGTGCACTCGGACAACGAAGGCTCATCAGTTTAACTGGGACAATGTAACCATAATAACCCAAGCCAAACTGACACAGGAATTCCTAGGGGCATGGTTCTCAACCCATAAAGGCAATCAACAAACAGAATTGGATCCCATATACAAACCCATACAGTACAAAACTGGAAATGACACTACTCACCATAATGGATAGGACAGTATAAATTCCAAGCAGAGTGGGACAACATCACTTCATTGGAGGCCTCACTGATGTTATCTAGCATAGTGGCAAAACGTCTGAACAAAAACAAGCCAGCTTGGCGAGCAAGTCAACAACCTTCCAGAGAGAAGTGTTGTTGAGATAAACAAAAGGAGATGGAAGTGGGCCAGGCCTTATACCCTAAATGACAACCATAATTCAAAAATAAATCTGTGCTGAAATATGTTCTTAACTAATACCAACAGGCAGTCAGCTACAGACCATCACACAAACTAAATGCAATAGTTATTTTCACCAAAACAGCACTAGTAGAAATTTCACCTACAGGATCAGGATTTGTTTTGAATGCAGGCTCATGTAATGAAGATCGTCTTTTGCTGTAAGATTCCGGTAAGAACAGAGCTGAGTGTCTGATGGGGACTGTGCAAAAGACAGCTTTACTTTCACTTTATAGCATACAGTAACCTTTATTGTATTTAATCCTGTTCTGTACCTGTCCTGGAGTGTTAGATAGGGACATTTACTCTATTTGATGTGGACATGAAACAGCTAATGTATTGTTTTTCATCAGTATACAAAAGTTTTAACTAAGACCAACTGTACTTGGTTGACAGGACACCATGGTTGAAATTAGTGAAGATGTCCCAAGGGATGGGAGCAGCAATAATTGGGAAAGTCACCACGTTTCTGGTGAATAAGAACACATGCATCATCCTCCTCTGCATCTGCTCAGTGTTGCCCATTCAGCAACATGGTTTCAATGCTGCT